GACAGAGGTCAGGGGTCCTGCATCCTCCTGGAGCAGAATGAAAACTCCTTCTTTAACATGTGCTCTGCTGGACACTGACAGAAGTCACAAGACTGCTCTAACTGCTGGTGAGAAAAGGTATTTAGCAGTTTATATTTACTAAAATAATTGCACTTCTGTGCTCTGTACTGTGGGAGACCAGATAGAGTGAATGCAGGGTCCTGGGTTTAGTAACACTTTAATGTTAATGGCAGAGGAACAAAGCAGAAAACAGAAATTACACTTATTGCTCTTAATTGAGACAAGAACACACTATAGAGGCATATGCTTTTTTCATATTTTTATATCTGAGGTTTACAACCACTTTAAATCCCATCCTAAACAGTGGATTGGGAGAGAGGTAATGTGTTTACTATCCAAGTCAGAATTTTTATCTTGTGCCACTTTTGGTGCAGGTCCAATCAATACTGTAACAGAATAATAATAACATTTATAGCAGGATACCCATAAATCATGTGCCCCTACTGCAATAATATAACTCTACAAATACAAATAGGAACAAATAGAAGCACCCCAGCAGCGTATCAGTCAAGAAGCAGCTGATACAGATTTGCCTCAAGCAAAGTAAATTATGTATTTTGACTGCTTTGAACCAGGGGTACTGCAGTTAGTCTTGTTCTTTGAGCGTTTATTGAACAAGCGTGCAAAAGTGTTACACCTATCACATTCTCTACTGTCAAAGTGATGCAGAATATAACTGCCTTAAGAACATTATTAAAGGTACATATAAATAATATGTATGTCATAAATGGAACTTAGCTAGATCCAATGAGGCTTGTAATGTCTATGTAGAGTTGTAAATCTTTCAATAGATACTTCCCATAGAAATAGGAACTTTGAACTGGGACACTTGTTTGTGATGTACATGCTAGCATGGATCATTGGATTTATTCCATTATACTGTATATCTCTAAGGAATTATATTGCTTGCTTTCCCGTTGTATTTTACCTCTGCAGATAAATTAAAAAGTTGACCCAAGATGCAAATACTGCAATCGCTCCCGCTTGCCATTGCCAGAATGATACATGGGTAGACATCATACATATAGATGACACAAATATGATGCTTGAAATATGTATTGTCCAGTCTACAACATTACTGCCGTCCATTAGATAGCCGAGTTTCTAAATCATAAGGAAAAATATACCCTCAGTTAGTATTTGTTTGCTGTAGATATACGTTTTGCTTTTTTGTGCATGCCCCAGAAATTCCAAACATTTGAATTTCAGTACCTTTGTTCACCTCCCACAGATGATACCACAATCCCTGCCATAGAATTATCAAAAGGCAACACATTGGAGGAGAGTTTAAACAATAATTATTTAATTTCCATACCATATGCACCTGATTTCTAGGTCCCTAGAGCAAGCCTTTCTCAACCAGGGTGCCTTGGCAAAATGTCTACAAATTGCCCAAAACTTGTATACAAGCCAGTGGGTGGAACAAGCTTGCCTTTTAGTTACACAAAGCCACAGGCTTTCATTGTGCAACATTACGACCTTCTAGCCACCGACGTCCTGACAACCAATGACATCTTTAGCTGATAAGGAGGATGTCAGCTGCCTGCACAGCATCCTAATTTGACGCTCCCCTTCCCCTCTCTGTAAGTGCTGGGGTCACATTAACTCAGTGATGGAGAAAAACTGAGGGGGAAGAGAAAATAGTGGAATACTAGTCAGTACCAGTGTGCAAAAGTGTGTTTGCTTTAGAAGAATATATCACCTCTAATGTTGGGTGTCCCACATGTGTGGATGTTGCTGTTAGAATAGTTTTTCACATTTTAGAATGGGATACCCTTTTAAAGTTATGGACAGTCTTGAGGCACCTCATTTTAGAATGGGGTGCCTCAAGACTGTCCATAATTTTAAAGGGTGACTCGGGACTGTCCATAATTTTAAAGGGTACCTTGACTGAAAAAAGGTTGAGAAATTTTATGTTAGCATATATTTATGTTTATGATCTTGTTGTAATAACTACTACACTATGGATATGACCTTTTCTGTATATGATATGGATATGGTCTTTTCTATATTACTTCCTAGAGTGGCCTTGGACATGGATGGATGTTTAGAAGGGGAACTGAGAGAAGGAGAGAGGCGTCTGGTGGCCATACTTTTATTCACAAAATGCATGATATGATTTCTAAGGATCCTGTTAATGAATAAGAGTCTATTTTTATGTGGTGTGCTGCATGGAGGTGATGTCCAGTGGTTGGAATAAATGGGCATGGAAATATGGAATTGTTAACAATTTTAGTTTGTGTGCACTATATTACGGACACAGAGACTATACAGAACAATTGTGTTTGTTTCTGAGATACACGTTCTGTTCTTCTTTTTGTGGGATCACTGTTTTAATATAGCACTGGTATTTTTCAAGAAATTATTTCTTTTGTTTTGGATAGTTTGGGGAAGGGTTAGCACTTTTGTCAAGTTTTCATTGTTGCCTGTGACTCCACTGAAAGATTTACCTTTATTTCCTGTCTAGGTAACGGGTGTCAGACATAGTAGGATAAAGAATCTCCAAAACCTAGATACGTTTTGTCTTTCATTACATCTGCTTTCAACACATTTACTTACTTGCTGACCCATCTGTATGATCTCCTTAAACATCCCAAAAATGCTCATAAGCATTACAATACCCATGCAAATGCGTGTGAAACATGAATCCTGCAAAAAAGCACATATAAAGCAGCAATTACAACCCAGAACACAACTTCTACAAAGATAAGTGACGTAAAAAATCCTGTGGAATCCCATAATACAAAGAAATCCCTTTCACTAGGGTTTCTCCATGCAGTAGTGAAGTAAAGGGAAATCTTTCCAGTGAGATATAGCTAGCAAATAAATAAATAAAGGTACATAGATTGAACCTTTCCTACTCCATATTTAATAAAATACAGAAGTATTAATACAGAACAGAAATACTAAAATGCTGCTTATACAGCATCATGATTGCAGATTTAGTAAATATGACATATATATGTAGCATCCTTTAGTGTGCTACTAGGGTAAGGTAGGTAAATTTATTGTGTATGACTCATGGTAACTGTGTGAGTCTGTGATTAGGTTGGGTTACTGCAGGTCAGGCTGGATGGCTTAACAGGTTTGGACCATATCATCTCCACCTGCTTCTGGAGGACCATGGAAGCTTCCAGAAGCCAGTGGGAGGAAGAGTGGGGAGACCAAATCTGCATGTTTATGGGAGTCTAACCAATCCCAGGTTTGGAGGCCCTGGCAGAGTGGTGAGGCCAACCCATAAATATGGCAGAGTCAGGCTGGCATGGGAGTCAGGTAGGAAGATGATGTGCTGAGGAAGCTGTCGGTGGCCTGGGAGGGGTCCCCTAGTTCTAGGTGGCTGGCCTTCAGGTGGGCTCAGACTGGCTCTGGAGGATCCATTCAGCATCACAGTATGAACTGGGAGCAGAGGGAGCAAGGAAGATGGAGTGAGTACAGCAGCACACCCAGCGATTCTCAAAGGGAGAATCTGCCACGTGTAGCAAGCTTTCAAAGGGGAGCTTTGTGCTCAGTCCTTTATTCTGGTCCTGGGAGATCTTCAGAGCAGCCAGGAGGGTTGATAGTGTCTGCAGGCTGTAGAGCTAGGCGCAGTTCTGCAAGGGAGAGGAGATATCTCTGCATGCAGTTGCAACAAACTAAGCTAACTTTCACATGAGGATGAGAGTCCTTAGCCCATAAGGGGCAGTTGTTACTGATCCATGATGACTGACTGCTTTAAAAGAAAAGAACCGTCCAGGATCAAGATTTCAATATAATCTTGAAAAAATTTTCTTTCACGTTTTGAGTTCTACCTGTCTGCTGGCCATCTATTTCCACAACTTCCTGGATTCTCTGCATGCATGCTTTGCAGCTTCTCCTCTGCTGTTTACTTTCAATTTCTAAGGAATACATATCCCATGGTACTATCAGTTCAAACAGGGACCTGGGCACCTGCCGAGCAAAAGGGCAAGCTATACTGCGTTATTTACCAGCCCCCTCATTTCCTTAATGAACACAGTGAGCGATCAGTACCAATCACGCCTGTCTCCATTTATCACTGAAGCATAATAAACTGTGTTTACTATGATTCAGTTTGTGAATGAATAGTAAGCTACAGAGACCTTCCTGTTCAATCATCTGCGCAGCTAAGGCTGCACAGAAAGAAATCTATGCCCTCAGTCCCTTTCTATGTCTAAAAAGTAAAACATCAGAGGTCTTTTTAGACTCCTGATCTTTTACCAAAGTTTCCAAACAAGACAGCAAAAAATGTAAAAAAAAATCATAAATCTCTAAAAACATGAAAAAAAAAAATTAAGGGCTTGTTCATCTGTGCCTTGCTCTCTGAACAGCAATCAACATTTAGAACGCTCTTCAGAGAGCATCTGATAAGTGGTGAGGAGGCATATTGCCTTTAATGGACCTTGTTCGACAGAGGCATAATTTCTGCCATGGCTGAGAAGAATAACATTGCAGCTGTGGCATGTGTACATCCCTAGCCACTACCTCTGTTGCTAAAGGGGTAGCGGTTGGTGGACAGTAAAAGTACAACTCAACCATGCTGTTCCCTCCCCCTCCCAGCCTTACATGTGAATGAGCCCTAAGGACTCATTCACACAGGTACTCTGGCCATGTGAATAAATAGATGTTCCAAGAAAGAAAATACTTTGGTATTCCTATTGTAAAGTAATTTTCAACTTTGATGTCTAGTGTCAGGTCACTTTCAATAACGTGAGAATTGGTATGTAAAGGAAAGTCATTTAAATTTGAAAAGTGTTAAACCCCACTGCAGATGGTATAAACAATATAACGTAAGGCTCCCCTAGATACCCCCTCCCTCCAATTGATTCGAAAAGTATTTTTATTGTTGGTAAGGCCCTAGATAAGCAATGATTAAATTTTTATTTGTTGGTATTAAACCCATGAAATACCACGAGTTGTAGTGGTTCAGGTTTTGAATGTGGACCTGAAGTTGAATCGTTTAACGTTGAATTTCTTGATGGGCTCCCAGGTACTGCAGCACTCATTATCAGCAGAGTGAGGGGAATAAGTCCCAAGGAGTAGATTGAAAGGTTAATTAGATGTGCTTTAAATCCATAAGCTCTCCTAAAACACAAAAATTACAAAAATTATGAGCTGAGCTATGATACAAAAAAAAATGAACAAATGGTTTTTCTTTTTTCATTACAATGTCACTTCATTCTCCAACAAATATATACTTCTTTGAAATTATGTTAAAGGGTTATTAAAGGCTATTTTATCAATTAAAACAACAAGCATGTTAGTCTTACCTGCTCTGTGCAATGTAATTGCACTAAGGTGCCCACAAAAATCTTTTTCTTGGGTCCCCCACCAGCACTGTCTGCTCCTTCCCTTCAGTGTCTGTAGACACAGAACGTGGCTTGACCCCACCCCCTGATCCTTCTCACTGGGTTTGATTGACAGCAGCAGGAGCCAATGGCTCCCGTTGTTGCCTCTGAGCCAGTATGTCAGGACCTGGGTCACCTGCTGGTGGCACTCTGCTTTCCAGGCTGGAAAGTTGTAGTTATAGTGTCCACTAGCGGGTGACTCCCAGCAGCCAGCAGTTTCTAGTAATTGGTGCCTACCTGATGCTGGCTTCTGGGAAGGTATTTAGTCTCTCTTCTGTTAGCACACTTCACATCAGTGTTTTGGCTGCTCCTGACCTGTACCTGTATCCAGTTTTGCTTCTCCTTCTGCCAGATACTGAGTGCCATTTATCCTTCTCCTGATCTTGACCTTGCTATGCATCTTGTACACTGCTCTTTTTTTTTCTGCTCCCCTTGTACCTGTCCTAGTCCTGATTCCCCCCATCTGTTCCCTGCATCTCCAGTTTACCCTGTTATCTATGGTCCCCATTTTTTGTACATATTGTATACAGTTTGTTTGTAGTTAGGATTCTTGTTTCTTAGTTAGGGTTTTTTGGTTATATGGTTGTGGTTAACTTGTATTTTTATGTCTGCTGTGTGCTGCTGTTTGGACATCTTTTTTTGCTATTAATATATATTCATTATGATATACAGTTTGCGTATATTGCTTCCTCCTCAGAGAACTAAGGCTAATTAGGTATCATTCAGGGCCAGTATTTACTACTTAGACTAAGATGAGGATATATTCATGTAAACCCTGGTGTCTGTGCAGTGCATATTTGGTGCATGTTCTAGGGTGTACTGTACAGTATGTACAGTATATCTTACACAGATCAGTAACCCTGCTGTTTTCTCTCTCTATTTGACTGGCCAGTGTAAAAAATCCATCACTCTTACACAACTTAGTATATATTATATACTTATATTATTATTATTACTGTTGTTTTAGCTCTATGTATAAATAATTGTAAGATTATGTAATAAATGCATTATATTTTAATTTCTTTTGTTCATGTCCTTGTTCTGATAATTGTAAACTGTTTTGTTTGCGCCATTAAGCCCTGAACAAGTAGGAGGGGGGTGTAAAAGCCATGAAACTATCTATTCCAAATAAAGATTCTATCATATCAATGTGTGATTCTTATTTGTTGTTTGGTTGCTCCATCTTTTATTTAAGTGAAAAAAGGTGCAGTGCTATACCTTACAAACTCTGAATAAACCATCTGTAAAATGGAAAAACAACTTTTAGAAACCCTATAATTTCTTTGTGTATTATTTTTATTCTTAACATTTAATGAAATAAAATAAATATAACAATAACCTTCAATCCTTACAGTGTTTTTTCATTATATTATAAGAATTAAAATTTCTAACACAAACAAATGATAGGTTTTCTAAAAAATTTTTATTGGTTTTACACAAGGTTTATGCGTAGGTATAGCGCTGCACCTTTTCCACTTGCAATGCATTTGTGTATCAGCCTGGTCCACAAAATTGTGTTCAGATGCTGACCATGTAGTTGATTTTCTTCATAAGTGCAGAGACAAAAAAAACATAATACTGTGTCTTTTATATATATTTTTTCATCAAACAACCATTACTACACCACCTATAATATACGTACCATTTCATAGTTAAATATTCTTTACAAACTGGATGGGAAAGGAGTTTCGACACGGTTGTGTTGCACCATGGCCTGTAGAAAATGGAAAAATAGAAACTACAATTCAATACAATACAGTACAATTGCAACTGTTTCATTGTTCTATGAAACACATAGCCACTTCTGGGAGCATCAGATTTGAGGTCTTTGCTGTGCTCAAGTGACAGATTTGCTTAACACCATAGAAAAACAATCCATAGAATTTGAAGAAAAAATTCTACACGTTAATATTTAGATCTAAACTAAGTACAACTCTATGGCAGTGTTCACAAATTAGAACATAAGAACCTTGTGAGCTAAAAAATAAATGCAACTAATAAAAAATATATATTTTTTTAAGTAATTAAATAAAAAAAAGTAACTAATTGATCAGTAGAACATAAAATACTGTATCTATGTGTTTCACAGTGTCTCTAACTACATAAACAGTTGTTTTTTGTGGTTACTAATATTCAGCAATTTTTTTTTTAAATAATGAAAAGTATTGCAATATATTATCAGACTAAATGCATAAAAGCTATGTTTTAAAGACCCTCCCATTCTAAATTCTCTTGCTCGCTCATATATTATGTGTTCTATAGAAGGCTCTGCTGTGAACATATACATCAGTTTCCAGTACCTGTATTGATTCTGTGTCCATTGTTGGATCAAATTGCAAAGCTTGTAATGGCTAATAGCATTCATGGTGCCACATATATGGGCAACATGGAGACTTTTGAGATTACAGTAGGCTAGGAATAGATACTGAACATTATATCTAGATAGAAAAGTACTAATTCATTTTTGTGTATTGACTTGCAGGTCACTTGTATGATCATGGTATGTTTTCAGCGAATCCAAGTATATTTTCTTCTCTTATCAATTTATATGCAGTTTTCAGCCAAAAAATCCACTAGACCTCCCATAATTAGGTTACCTTATGGAACAGCTAGTGTTAACCATAGATCACTATCATTCTATCATGTTTTCCTCCCCAGCTGTTTTTCTTTAAAATCACACTAAACTCGTTTTTTTTTACTTCAATTGTGCTAAAATATTAAGTATACCATGGCTCTTTTTTGTTTGTTTTGTTTAAAAAGTCTCCATTCATTGTTTTCAGGCTTTTTTTTTTGTCCTGTGTATGTTCCCTATCCTCCACTGATACACCTGACTGCTACTATTGTAGAATGAGCAGTGGCGTTATTTCTGGTCACATGCTTACTACAATTCCATACAATGGAACTGACTGTGTCTGCAGGTAGATGTGTACTACATCTCAGAGATGAGCAGGAAAGGGTGGCTATGTTCACATACAGAAAAGGGTTATGGAGAACAAACCTAGCCACCCTAGAATAAGAAGTCTGAGAACAGCAGAAAAAAGCTTGCATTTGAGAGATGAAACAAAGGAAGACATGGAATGGACATTTTTTCTTCTATTTAAACATTTATTAGTAAAAAATGTTAGTTTAGTGTAATTGTTAAGGCTGGTTATACAATCACTGGCCTCTTTATTGGGTACATCTTGCTAGTATCGGGTTGGACCCCCTTTTGCCTTCAGAACTGCCTTTATTCTTTCTGGCATAGCTTCCACATGGTGTTGTAAACATTCCTCAGAGATTTTGGTCCATACTGACATGATAGCATCACGCAGTTGCTGCAGATTTGTCGGCTTCACATCCATGATGCGAATCTCCTGTTCCACCACATAGCAAAGGTGCTCTATTGGAATGAGATCTGGTGACTGTGAAGGCCATTGGGAGTACAGTGAACCCATTACCATGTTCAAAAAACCAGTTTGAGATGATTTGAGCTTTGTGACATGGTGCATAATCCTGTTGGAAGTAGCCATCAGAAGACACTATAGTCATAAAGGGATCGAAATGGTCACCAACAATATACTCAGGTAGGCATTTAAACAATTGCTCAATTGGTATTAGGGGCCCAAAGTGTGCCAAGGAAAAATATCCCACACAACTACACCACCACCACCAGTCTGAACTGTTGAAACAAGGCCGGATGGATCCATTCTTTCATGTTGTTTACGATTTACCATTTCATCTGAATGTTGCAGCTAAAATCAAGACTCATCAGACCAGGCAATGTTTTTACATTCTATTGTTCAATTTTTGGTGAGCCTGTGCCAATTGTTTCCTGTTCTTAGCGACAGGGGGGTGGCATGGATGTGGTCTTCTGCTGCTGTAGCCCATCTGCTTCAAGGATACGACATGTTGTACATTCAGAGATGGTATTCTGCATACCTTGGTAGTAATGAGTGGTTATTTGAGTTACTGTTGCCCTTTCTATCATCTGAAACCAGTCTGTCCATTTTCCCCTGACCTCTGACATCAACAAGGCATTTTCGAGCATACCACTGCATTTCACTGGAGATTTTCTCTTTTCTCAGTAAACCCTAGAGATGGTTGTGGCGTAAAAATCCCAGTAGATCAGCAGTTTATGAAATACTCAGACCATGGGGTAGTGATATATTTCTTTTGCTAATAGCAACCAATTTTATATATGCTTTTACTTTTTCACTCTAAAATTATGATGGTGTTCACTTGCTCAGAGCTCAGAGCATTCGTGTTTTTTTAAGTATACCTTTATTGCTAATGATGATTTTTGCAAATGCATAGAAAAAAATGCAATAATGTAATCCTGTAATAAGAAAAATAAAGAGGCTGCCATTACTTACATCTTATAAGGTACTGAAGTAAAGGAATCAAGATAGCAGCCGGGAAACTAGCGCCTTGAGGAGTTCAGGAATTGCAGCCTGCACATTTCTCTTAAGACAGGTTTCCGTAAGAGGATGTGTGCATATCAGATAATAGGCTCCGATGGCATGATTTCAATTCATCCAAGCCAAAAAAAAACCTCATGCAGCACAGTAAATGCTCCTTTGGCAAGGCAAATCTCTGTTCAATTTGGTCACTCAGTAATGCAATAATGTGCAAAAAAATCCTGTTTTTTATATCCCTTGCACACGATTTGGTATTTAAGTGGATACAACTTGCCTTATTTGCTAAGTTAACTGAACATTTGCTTTATTCTGTGAGAGTGGCAGATTATTCAGAGAATTACAGAGTTTTGCATTTTTATAAAAAAAAAACTAGGTTTCCTTTTTTATCAGTGTTTCTCCATGCATATTTCTTTTCTACATAGTTTAATTATCATAACATTTGGAATATACACCTGTAGCTAGGTGCTTGTCATTGCAAAATAGAATCAAGAGGACATTATCAAACGGAACCATAGACTAGCTAGTTCCCTCTTAATGCCGGGACTCATACCATTGCATCACCTCCTGCCTATAGAGGAGGGGAGCTGTTCTTCCTGCACAGAGCAGAGGATATTGGGACCTGTAGCCCTGCAGTCTATTCTTGCTGTATTGTAGAGTTCCTTTGGATTTACAAATTCTGTAAAGCTGATTCAGCAAAGATTATGGGACAATTTTTGTATTTGACTGCTTCTGGTGGACTATCCCTCTCGGCCCGGGGATATCAAAGAGGAAGGTTAGAGGCTGCTCTTCTGCGTCCAGCTGCATCGGAACTCAGCAGCCCAGCTGGCAGTAGTGATACACAGCTCATTCATCTGCGTAACTGCACTGCAGATCATGACAATAAGTGTTTACAGCAGCTCTCCACTATCCAGCATTTCTCACAGCCCTTCTCAATGTGGCACCCTTTAGGTTTAGCTAGATAGGGTTGGGTTTTTTTTTTGTGAGTTAGAGGCTTGGCGGAAGCCTGGGATGAGTGAGCCTGGGAATGTTGTAGTGATGTTGCCTCGGAGAAGGAGGGGGGGGAGGGCTCTGCATATCAGGGCTTCTGAAGAGGGATGAAGGAGAAGAGGAGGCTTAGACTTGTATGTTTAAAGGAACTTGGTCAATCCCCAGGCAGGACACTGGGCATGGTGGCCAGGGGCAATCCTTAAATGTGACAGAACTGTGCAGCAGGGGGAGTCGGGTGGAAGATGGACTGAGAGAAGGTGCTGGAGAGTGGAGCCTGGGAGGGGGCCCCAGGTAGGGGAGCTTACCTACAGGTTGGTTGCTGGACTGAAGGATCTCCACTGTGCCAAAGTCTCCTAGGGAGGACAACCTGTGAGCTGGGAAGGAGCCAACCCAGCGTAAGCACCTGCAACTCACCAAGCTAACAGGACAGGATGGTGTGAGTAGTTTTACACACCCTGGGCCAGATAAAGGGACAGAGCTGTCAGGTACCAGACCCAACTAGTTCTTATTCAAAACTGCTTAAGTGCATATCTTAGAATCCCCTGCCCAGGGATAGCCTCAGGCAGGGGCAGACTGACCATTCGAGCACTCGGGCACTCGGGGTCAGTATGGGGCCCATAACATGCCCATGGTACCTTTTTGATAGGCTTTTTTGAGTGTGGGCAAGGACACAGGGGCCCCATGGTCCCCTATTGCCCGGGGGCCCCATGAGCTGTCAGTCCGCCCCTGCCCTCAGGTGAAGTTAACCTCTCCAAGTTGTTAACCCCTCAATAAAAACAACAAAATATACAGTTCAAGGACTGTTTTACTGACTCTGTGTGTGAAGATGGTGGAACTGCGTGTTCCCTGGCCATGCAAAGCTTAGAGGGGCCCAAAAAACTCAGCGATTCCTGCGGCTCTGCCCCAGCTAATTGTTCACCAGCAGCCTGTTGGCCAACCGCTGTTTACTTGCTGCCTAATATATCCCGTTGACTTTCAGATGCCATTGAGATAATCAATGTTATTCACTTAACCTGTCACTGGTCATAAAGTTATGGCTGAGCGGTGTACATCTGGGTGGTGTTTAGCCCTCCTCTTACACCAATCCCAATTCTACCTACAATCTCTCCTGTACCAAACACTCTTTTCCTAGTAGTTTTATACATTTAGGTATTATGCTCAGACCCTGCAATGTAATTTGCTATTATAATGTATCGACATATCATCTTACATTTAACGTAATCAGAGGCTCATATGTAATGCTTTTTTTCCTCTCGCTTGCCTTCTTGAACTGCAGGGGACATTGTAGGTATCGAAAGTTGTATTCAATCTAATGAAAAAGAAATCATCCAATTTAAATAATACAAACTATCTAGGGATATGGTATGATATCATATACAGTACATACATTATCATGTGACTTACAAAGAAATTTGGACTCTTCTTGTCCCCAGGTGATTCAATCATACATCTGTCTAAGAGAAACTGCAAGGTAAACAAATTAATAGATTACTATACAATAGTATATACAGATTTTATTTCATACTTTTTCCCAAACTATGCAGGATAATTTTAATAAATCTGTAGACCATTAATGCCATCAGCCTAGAGCTGTGATATTTTTCACAGAAATGTTGTTTGTATTAGGCAGGAGTATGTGATAGTCCAAGGCTGTCTAAGCCTCAACTGCATTTGAATCCTACAAGTAGAACTTTAGAGGTGTTCAACTTTCATTTGGCTGTTATGTCTAACACAATGGAAACATCTGAAAATCACATGTCCTTACACATATGCTTTACACTACGCAGTACAAAATAGCTTAATATCCAACTGAACTTTTAGCTTAAGTCACCTAAATATATTTCAGGTGCATTAAATAAAATAAATTACACAAAGCCTTATAGTTCGGTTTGTTTTAGAAAGTAGCCACAGCCTTAGTAGAAAAGCCTGTCCTTGGGAGCATGCTATAGAAAAGGACTTGCTCTCTAGGTGGAAGCAGTGGTCTCTCTGTAGAGGTCTTGCATGCCTTCTGCTGAGTCAGAGAATAGAGGTAGAGTTCTCCAATCAGCAGAGAGCACAAGCTGTGCTAAAATTGTAAAGCTATAGGTATAACTCACCAGCGGGCCGTTCAGACTTCTAAAGAGATGCCATTGCCAAACAATTTGTACAACAACTTCTACATTCAAAAACAAACAGTACTCACTTTTAAGCTTTCTGGGAGGTGATACACCATTTCAAGTATAGGGCACGTGTAGTTAGAAGTATCTGAAAATGTTACAAGTGCCTCCTCCCACCTGTAGTATAATGGAAGAAAGTAGAGATCTTCATAAGAGGGAAACAAAATATTATATAGTATTGCATATTATAGACTTTCAGTTTAGTGAAGTCAGTGATAGGAACAATTCAATTCCTAACTAATATATCAAATATTTAAATGTTTCTTCAAATACTCTTTGCATATAGGGCCCTTCAGACCTCTTACCAGTACACCATCTGGTGACATGTCACAGTGTGTTGGGGATCTCACTTCTTAATATTCTGTTCTCCTTCACTAAAGTTCAATACATTTATTCTTGGTGCTGGGAATCTAACACTGGCAGATTTTAATACAAAGCTCCTGCAACAAAGAGCTAGTATACATCTCGTGCTTCACTAATAAAGAATCTCCTTCACAAAACCACTCCCGAACATTAACACTTTCTTACCTGTAAATGTTATGTGCAACTTAACAATGATCCCTTAACACCTAAAATGGTAGCACCGGGAAGAGCATCTTTCAGTCCCAGGTACAGTCGCACCAACCCCTCTCGCTCACCATATCCAATGAGCCTCAGACCATCAGCCTGCTGAAGATCTTAGTATGGGGGGAGGACATCCTGTGTAATGATGGGGGTAGTATGGGGGGTGGGCATCCTGTGTAATGATTGGGGTATTATGGGGAGTGGTCCTGTGTAATGATGGGGGTAGTATAGGGGAAAGGTCCTGTGTAATGATGGGGGTAGTATGGGGTAGGGGTCCTGTGTAATTATGGAGGAGGGGGGGGTCCTGTGTTATGATGGGGGTAGTATGGGGGAGGCGCCCTGTGTAATGATGAGGGTAGTGTGGGGGAGATGTCCTGTGTAATGATGGGGTAGTATAGGGGAAGAGTCTTGTGTAATGATGGAAAAGGGGGACTTGTGTAATTATGGGGGTAGTATGGGGGAGGGGGTCCTATGTAATGATGGGGGCAATATGGGGGAGGGGTCTTTGTAGCAATTGTGCGTACAGAGATGGATGCGGTAATCCATCTTGCTACAGATCCTCCATCTTGTATCATTCTCTCTCCCTCCAATCCCCCTCCCTCAGGAATGTGGTCTGTATGTATGCTGAGATCACATGCATCAGGCACAGTGGGATAGCTTCATGGTTATAAACCCCAATTAGCCTGGGCCCAGTATGTCTGTGAGACTCTTGCTTGGAGAGGATCGTAAAGCTATAAACCAGTCCTTCGCTGAACATGAAAAACATTCTGAGATAACGGTAAAACAGACTTCCTATTTAAAACCCCTTTTCCATATAATGTCATATCTTAAAATAGGGACTACATACATCGAACACAAAGCATATATTCAGATAGCTTAGTTTAATGCGAGTCGCCTGATATCTTACACCCCTAGATTATGTCTACCCGAGAGCAGAAAGCGATATTTATTTCAGTTACTTATATAGCGCCGTCAATTTACGCAGCACTTTACATATATATTGCACATTCACATCAGTCCTTAACCCTTAAGGGGTGTACAATCTAAGATCCCTAACTCACATCCATAGACATACTAGGGCCAATTTAGACAGGATCTAATTAACCTACCAGCATGTCTTTGGAGTGTGGGAGGAAACCGGTGTACCCGAAGGAAACCCACACAGACACAGGGAGAACATGCAAACTCCAGGCAGGTGGTGCCGTGGTTGGGATTTGAACCAACGACCCTAGTACTGCCAGGTGGAAGTGCTAAGCATTTAGCCACTGTGCTGCCCCATATCTCTTTAACCGTCACAGGTAGATATGTCACATCTGATATCTAGACGTTCAGCAGATGATTTTACATATTAATCTACTAGTGGCTAGACTGCTACATGTACCTAGGGAAGGTTATTGACCATGATATAAACTGGGAGGGATTTGGTCATAGCCTGAGTTCCCCGCCTAAAACACCCTTCCCTAAATGAGATTGGTTCTCTGCTTTAAGGAGACACCCTGCTGGGTTCCTAGAAAAAGGCTGCTATGCTTGGAGCAGGAAGTTGAAGAATTCTCCCTGTTTAACATCAGGAACCAACTTTGGGAGAAAAGGTACCCTTTTGCTCAGGACCCTTGAAGCTGCTTAAACCAAAGCTGACGGCAAGTATTCTACCTCTCTAAACTTCTTTCTGTTATCTCTCTGTTGTGGTATTGCTCTCTATATTTTATATATATATATATTATATATATATATATATATATATATATTGGCTACATCTTTTTCTGTAAATACTTTTATTGCATCATGTTGACCTTTTTAGTAATAAATCTTATTTTCTGAAAAGTGTTGAACTGTTTCTAAAGCTCTTTAATGCAAACTAAGAATCCCTGTCTCTGAAGAGCGCTACTGTGTGTTTTGAACCCTCTATATACATCTGTCTGCAGTGACAGTGTGTATACAGACGATTATTCAAACATTATAGTGTTATTGCTAATATTGGCGAGTTTCCTCCTTCTCTGTACAAAAAGGCGGTGGGTGGCAGTGTGAAGGGTTAATTGCGTAATTAACCTGACCCAGTAACAATCGCTCTCAGGCTGCAGGTACATAGTTTGTGGTCCATTAGCTGGAAAATCGTTGTGCAGGGTACAGCTGAGCGTGGCATTGTTAAGCACGTGACAGCGCGGTTTTAGATTGGCTAGTCCTTCGGTCATGAGTTGGTGAGAAGGGCTGGGGTCTGACGCCGCGACCGCCACAGTCCTGTGTAATGATGGAGGAGGGGGTCTTTTGTAATGGTGGGGGTAGTATGGGAGAGTGGACTCTGTATAATGATGGAGGAGGGGGGATCCTATGTAATGATGGAGGAGGGAGGTCCTGGGTAATGATAGGTAGCTCTATTTGTGTGTGTGTTTGTTTTTGGGATGTTGGGGTAGAGAGGGAAATTGCATGTGGGGGACCCAGGGGAAAATGTTTGTCCAGGGTCCAATCAATATTAACCTCTTCCTGTAGGCCTACAGTCTATAGATGGTGGGTGGGAAGCTTTCCCAATGCAGGCTAATGTACCCGTATGTTAGCCCGCATCGGCGGCTCCTGTGTGTCTCACAGAGTTCGCACCCGGGAGCCTGGAGATCGGTATGTTCCCTGGACACAGCAGATCATTAACTCTGTGTCCGGGCAATCACATGGTGATTTTCCATGTAATTGCTGTGTCCTGTCACTGCAATCACATAGTAAACACTAGAAAGTGAAACTAAAGATCACTTCTCTGCTGTCAGAGTGAGAGCGCAGAAAGCTATTTTGCAGCCTGTGAGTGTACAACAGCTTGTCAGGCTGCTTGTACACTCACAGACTGCAGTGCCAGCCCAGTGTCCCTGATCACTGTCTCTGGGTCCCTGATCACTGCACCATACATCATACCAGCACCCTGATAACCGCCATACGGCCTACCAGCACCCCGGTCACAACCATACACCATACCAGCACCCTGATAACCGCCACACACCCTACCAGCACCCTGGTCACAACCATACACCATACCAGCATCCTGATCATTGTTATGCCTCATACCAGCATCCTGATCACCCCATAAGCCCTACCAGCGCACTGATAACCACCATACTCCACACCATCATCCTGATCACCGCTATACCCCATACGAGCATCCTGATCACCACCATACTCTATACAAACATTCCGATCACCACCATACCAGCATCCTAATCATCGCCATATCCCATATCAATGTCCTGATCACTCCCATACCTCATACCAGCGTCCTGATCACTGCCATGCCTCATGTTAATGTCCTGATCACTACCATACCCATACCAGCATTTTGGGATCTCAAATGATCAATTTTCAGATATATATCCCAAAGTTTGTAGACTCTATAGCTTTCAGGCAGGCTAAATAATATATCTTGTTTTGGGTTATTTTTACCCAAAAAATGTAGCAGAATACATTTTGGCCTAAATTTATGAAGATTAATTATTTATGTGCAAAATTCTATGACAAAAAACTAAGCAAAACATTTGTTTTTTCAAAATTTTCTGTCTTTTTTCATTTATATAGCAAAAGATTAAAAACTCAGTTGTGATCAAATACTACCAAAACATAGATAAAAAA